CTCCCTTGTCATAGAAGTCAAGTCGCTCCTCAACTTGCTCACGGAGCTTCTCACCGAAAACTGTAGTATTCCTTTCTGCAAAATAGTATAACAAACAGAAAATAAATTGGTGATTTGTATTACATGAGAACAAATTAGGAAATGATAGTCTATGAAAACACCCGAGAACTTACCTGCAAAACAGTCAATACGAGATGCAATGGAACACTTGTTTGCAAGGTAGCGAGCTATTCGTCCCTTGTTCCGAGTAGATGCTCGGCCAATATAACTTGAGTGGAAAATCAGACCATACTTTGGTGTGTTTCCTCGAGTCTTCAGTGCCCTGAAGGAAGCAACAAAGGATTTGATCACAGTCAACAAAACAGCCTCTCTAGGGAAACTTAAGCAAAACAATTGAGCTTGATGAAAACCTAAAAAGCGCCTTCTCTGCACCAAGAATTTGCAGTGTTGAGGAAGGGCACTTGGCCAGATTTGTAAGGCTACCAGCATGTGAGATGAGCCGAGCCGCAACAACCTCACCAATCAAGGAGGTCAAATTGGGTGCAATATCAGTCATTTTGGTAACCAGGTACTCATAAAGTTTCTTTCTATATTCCGAGAGGTCCATAACCCGTTGAGCAAATTGTTGGACATTAATCAAATCAATGACTGATAAATCCTGCCCTGCATGGAGAAGACACAAGATTAAGGGCCCATTTGGTTCGATTTCTGCTCCATTCCCATCCTATTACTTGATCATTACTTGAATCTGATTCACAATTGGACTAACTTTGCACCTATCTTAAATTCAATGGAGATGGAGTTATATTCTACTTGACTAGATATGAATGAAGCAATCACCTAATTTGAATTATACACGAGATTAAAATTTGTTCATACTATAACATTTATCTTGTTTCTCTTTTATTCCTATTTTTGTTTCATGTAGTTAATATTTTAAACTAGATGAAGCCTTAAATACAGTATTAACCGCATTTGTGGGGGATAGAACTCTACCCATTGATGCTTTGCCAGCTTCTACGACCTCCTTTGCCTTATCTTCATCTCCAAGTACATCTGTTAGCGCTGGAATGTGCTCATCAGACAACTTTGATTTGTCTTCTATGAGTTTAGCAACTTTGGCATACAGATAATTGTCGTTGACTATCTTCACTAGTTCAGGGAAATGCCAAGAGTACCATTCTCTGCAGCAGGTGATTAAGAAGTAATTGTTTGACAGAAAATCTTACATATGCCAAGAAGAAACAAATTTTCGTTTCTTTTCTTCACAAGCTGTTAGAAAATGCAATAACAAACCTAACTCTCATGGAGAATGAATTGATGTCCTTGTCAAGAGTATCAAGAAGGAAAATTGCTTGGATGATCATATTGTCAACCCGATTGACATTGAACTTGACCTTTGCTCTGCTGTAACTGTGTCCAAGACCTAGCTGAGCCTTTTCCAAGTCCCCAGGCTACTTATAAAAGCGGGAGAGGAAACGAAATTAGGAGTAACTGATGAATAAGAGTTTTACTAGCTTCTCTAATGGACTAATGAAAAACTTTGAGCCACACAAAATGCAAACCTTGAGGTCCTTGATAAACCTGTCAAAATGCAGCCTAACACCACGAAGAAGCTCAAGGACAAACTCATTGCTCTGGCATGGAATTTTCGTACTCTCCAAGATATGTGACCCAATTTTAGGCTCTGCAACTCCTAGACTAAATTTTGGCTTCTTACCTTCCTTGACCTTTGGTAAGCTCAACTCCAAAAAGTTCCTCAGCTCATCAGTCATAATCCCTGCAAATTAAAAACTTAGATCTACAGAGAACACGGAACATTCTTTAATATCATTTCACATGAAAATTCAATTGGTAAGGACTAAGCAACAAAATTCCCTCATATCCCATATTATTAATGTCATACTCCATTACAGTCTTTTTTACTTAAAAAAGGGGGAGAATAACATTAAACTTCCTATTTCTACTTTATTATACTCCATGTAACTTGCTTCCCTACATTATACGTTGTCTTGGATAATTTATTTTACAAAATATGACAGAGTTCGAATGAATTTAGAATAACTTTCAGTCATTTATTATACCAAGCCAACTGCCCAAAAATACCCACTTTGCTCATCTAAACTGTTCATGCAATACAAAGGGAAAAACTTTGTTATATACTAGATTACTCGCCAGTCAATTCTTCCTTCACTTCCATATATTGACTCAGTAAATAAGGGAAAAACCTCAAAAACATGAACGTGTAACCCCTAAAACAAAGAAATATATTCGAAAGCATAAACTAACACAACATTGGTCATGGAACAGTCAAAAGCAATTTAGGAGAAAACTCATAAACAAAAAAAATTCCATTAAAGGGGTAAGCTTAGCAATTGTCACCTTCAGAAACAGAGTTACACTGATTGAGAGCATCAAGAGCAGACTCAAATGGTTGAAAAGCACTTAGCTGGACTACCCTTCCAAACCGGTTCAGGTCCAAAACGGAGTTCCGGACACCCTCTGTGTTCTGCCCGATTTCGTCGAGTCCATTGGCATGGAAGAGACCGTAGCCAGAGGACGACTCATAGAGAAGATATAAGGCCATCGAAACAAACCAACGTATACAACCAACCTTCCTTCCCCCGTCTTGTGGGCGTCAATAAGCAAGGAAGTGATGTATACCAGGGTTTCAGAAAAAAGTTTAGGTGACGTAAAACTAGGGTTTGAGGAAAAATAAAATGTTCAGGGTTTAAGCTTTTATATGCCATAGCAAGTTGTGTTAATTGGGCTGAGAATTGACGTGAAATTGCCCGTGCCCCAACCCGAACCCGAACCCGAATAAGCTGAAGCTTTTTACAGGAAGGGCCCAACATCAAAAACATCAAAAAGTTAAAATAACATAAGAAATTAGAATTAAAATTAGAGAAAACTTAAGAAATATTTGTCTTTAAATTAAATTATTCTTTAAATTAAATTATGTAAGTGTTCAATCTTATAACCAAATAAAATTAGATAATTTAAATATTCGATTAACTAATTTTAATTGATTCAATTAAATTTTAAAAAAAAATGAACTGAATCATGCAATTTTCAATGAACTTTTGATTTTTGTTTAAAATTCACAATAAATTATAATATTTTTAAATTCTAAATCATTTAATTTAAATAATCGTATTATCATTACTACACCAAATTTCATTAAAACTACGCAATTAAACGTGTTTAGACGAAATTAATATTAAAATAAATGACCTCTTAAAAAATTCTCGTATAGTACGTGTTTCGTTGTAGTTTCAAAAAAATATTAAATCAAATGAAACCATAAGATTTCAATCCTTATTATTGTCTTTTATCATAACATACATTTAATTTTTGAGAGCTTGTAAAATAATAAAGAAATTATCAATGCTATTGGATGCGATTAATATGTTATAGATCAATGGTGAACTATGCAAGTAACCCGATTCGGTCAAGAACATGTGAGTGATCAAGACTTCAATTTTATGAGCTACAACAGCTTGCAGTATTACATGAAAAGTTCCTCTAGGTGTCTATACAAAAAATCCATCATTCCGAATTCTGAGTTCTAAAAGACTCTTAAATCCACCGGAATGACGAAAAATCAGGACAAGAATGTCTCAATCAAAATTGAAGCCTTGGCATGTTGGCTTAATTATAGTCCATAGATACACTAGCAGGAACATGACAACTTTGAGTTCTAAAAATTCTCAAATGTCCAGCATTTTCAGACTTACCCATCTCATAATTCATGATCACTGATAAGTAATCAGTTAGGTGTCAGTCATGTTGCTGTTTCATCTCCTCTAGCTCGTTTTCTGGATGGGACGCCAGACTCAAAATTATCTGGTTCTGGTTCAGGATCCTCACTCCACTTGATTCCGGATCTTTTTAGATTTTTATTCAAGCAAGCTTCTGCATCAATGTTGTCGGTGTTGCTTGCATTCATTCCTGCTTTGCCGTGATCCTTGCCCAAGGCTTCTGGTTTGTCACTTGCAGGGGAAGTATGCAATACATTT